GGGGGGGGGAGAGGGGAGGGAGAGGGGGGGGTCAGTATTGGGCCGTAGGTAAGACAAATTTCCTCCACTACCATTGCAGCTCACTGGGGTGTACAGGCCTGTGATCATGTATGATATCCTGGCAGGGTGGTACGTGGGTAAAAACATTGTTTTGTGGGACAAGTATAGGTGAAATGTGTGACAACCAGTAACCCTGTACAACTGATATTGGTTAGTTCACTCCTGCTTCTCTCTCTCTTCTCTCTCTCTCTCTCTCTCTCTCTCTCTCTCTCTCTCTCTCTCTCTCTCTCTCTCTCTCTCTCTCTCAATGTCTCATAGAAACACGTACACACGAAAACATGATATATGAACGCACGCTCGCATGCCATCTACGCATGCCAAGGACTGGGGTGCAGAGCGCTATGCCATCAGCGCCGACCTAATCTCCCTACCTGAAGCGGCGCCATACAAATTTGCTGTGGGGTCCTCTTCCTCTTCAGGCCATGGTCGGTGCACCCGAGCAGACGGATCTGCATGCTGGTGACGTTTACTGCGCTGGCTGTCACCATGTGAAACAGTGACGGCAACTCATCAATACCGAACTCCGATTCCATGAGAATGTTGTGCACGATGCAGATGGCCATGAACTCCTTGCAGAACGTCTTCATGTTCCCTATTTGTTGGTGGATGAAGTTTCTCCACACAGCCTTCAATTTTCCAATCATGCACTTTATACAACTCCTTGCCGTTGTATGGCAGCCATCCAATGTTACCTCCCTTGCTGACCTCTTTCGGCCCACCACGGGCTTAATCCATTGCCCGCGCCGCCCAGGACACACCGCTCGATAACTGTCCTGTCTCGAAGCCCTGCAGTTCCACTATGGAACACATCCAACTCCTTGCCATTCTGTGGCAGTCATCGGATGTTACTTCCCTTGCCGATCTCGTTTGGCCCCCCACAGGCTTAATAATCCATGGCAACGATGGGTGTCCCGCGCTACCCAGGACATACCGCTTGATGACTGTCTCGTCTCAAAGCCCTGCAGTTCCACTATGGAACACACCCGGCCCGTTCTCTGCCTCATAAACAACGGGGACAACCACAGAACATGGGAATCGTGCATGGATCCCAGACAGCCTTTCAAGAATGCAGCTGCACTGCTCCTGTTGTTGCTGCTGCTGCTGCTGATGATGATGATGATGATGATGATGTGGACTACGATCCTCCAGTTGATGTAGTGATTACTAGTCAATCAATTCCGAAAGGCGACACTGTTAGGTAGCCTGAATGATGCACACAGCATGAATTTCCCAGGAGCAACTAGTCGCACGCGATAGAACTCGATATCCTCTGGACCCGCACCAAGAGAAGCCTCTATTCTCTGTAGACAAGGAAGATGGATGAAATTGTGGAGTGGAGTGGAGTGGAGTGGTGGTGGAATCAATTTGCAAAGAAGAGATCGACACACAGAATGTGAAATGTCAGCTCAGAGATAATTTCTCCCACAATAATGAAGAGACTCTGAAATGACAAAGGCTCTGGTCCGATAAGATTGAATTGTGCGGCTCTTCTCACACCACCGAGGGAAAGGCTGGAGGTAGAAGAGAGAAAATCATAAAAAAATGTCAATTGACAATCTTTGTTACTGGGTGAAACGAGCGAGTGGAAGCAGGCCCATAGCAGAAATCTGCTCACATGCGAGAACCCTGTACTACGATTACCTGAACAGAGGGGAACCAATTGAAGGAGACAGTGAAGAAGAAACTCGAATCCCCACAAGCACGACGAGCTCTCATGTACCACCCGCATTGACTACGCGATTTGATCACACATGCACGCGATATTGACAATATTGGAGTCCCTTGATGACGAAGCTTTGCAAGCATATCAATTCGATTACACATGCTCACAGTGCCAACTCAGGACATACTCACACAAGGACTTTTTCGACGAAGCTAGAGTCGTGATTGCAGTCAGATCCATTTCAAGTCTGGTCGTAATTGCGGTCAGATGCATTTGGAAAAATGGTATTGTGAGCATGCCGGCATTCAAATAGAGGATCAAAGCGTTACAAGACAAACTACGTTTGAGAGTCGTACCAACATTACATATTCGAATGATATGTCTTGAATTTTTTCTTAGACACTAGTCGGCTAAACCCTTACAAGAAGAATGGACAGCACCGAACACTCTTACTTACATAGGTTATGAAAAGTCCAAATTTCCTTCTCATACATAAGATAACAGTAGCTGCCTAGCTCAGTTGTTACACCCATGAATTGTTGAGATGCAGACCAGAGTTCGAGTCCTGATGAACCTAGAATCCTAGATCAGGCTAGATGCATACAATGAAATAATTATGAATTACCTGGGGCTGGTCAACTCGATGATAATATCTCAAGCCCATCGCCTTTGTGATAAAAAGAAAGGAAAAGATAACAGTAGCTGGATTCCATATGTTTCGTACTTTTATTTCTCATAGTTGTTTGGTCATGCACATTAACTTTTAGGACTCTGGACTTGACTTGATACTAAGGACGATAGCAGAGAGGAATGAACTTGAGACCAAAGTGAAACTATCCCACCTTCACAAATTGGTTTCAGAATATCCTGAGTTCATGCACTTTGGACTAAAGGCTAAATCACAGATGGGTTCACAACTTCACACACACGAGACACACACTGCCACGAGATGAGAACACAGTGGAAATTGGTTGAAAGTCTTATACATCAAGTCTCACGTACGTCTCCTCGGCGGCTATGACCGTTAACACCCGAACAGGTATGTCTTCTCTTTCACTATGTTCTCTGAGAAGCAGCACCAACCTGACAAGTGGTCTTTCCACTGCAAACCAACATGCCACCCCTTCCACAACTTCTCCTGCCCAGCAGCCGTAATATGATTGTGCCTTTAGTTTAGGATTGTGCCACAATCCAGCCAGAAAGCATAGAGGTAGAAACTACAAAGACTGGTGATGACAGCTACGACTTCCAGACGACATAACAAAAGTCCCTGGACTCCTGGAGCTTGTGGACTGGCAGTTCTTCCGCAGGGTAACAGATGGGATACTGAACTATGCCAGGGTCCCTGAGCACGTAATCGCGACGAGTGGTCCACTTCTCATTAAAACACACACACACACACACACACACACACACAC